ACAATTTAAGAGAAACTGCAGATCTTGTGACAGATCAAGCTCTAGACTTTTGGCAAAGAACTAGAATTGCAACAAAGCAACATTATCATGGTATAACACATGCCGAAAAACTTGTTGAGAAATACATAAAGAAATACAAAAGAGCTAAAAAGAAGAGAAATGTTTTTAAAAGACCTAGTTATGACAGAATCAGACTCCTCTCAGGAGTACTGATAATGAAGTAAATGACTTTATTCAATCGCCAGCAAAGAAACTGAAAATAAAAAAAAAGTGAAGAAACAAACATTTTGTTCAGCTTTTGATTGTTTAAAAATTTCTCTCTGGTTCCTTGGTTTTGTCCAATATTTGTTAAAGGTTAGGTGCCCATATGGAACATTTCTCTACATCATATGAATTAATTCGATGTACAGAAGTGATGCAAGTTGCAAAAAGAATTATTTCAAAATTCAAACAGTTCATGAAATGATTTTATCTTATGTTTACAAAACTTGTTTTGGACCATCTTCTGTTCAAGAGGTTAAATTATTTTAACAATTTCATGATCAGTGGAGTTAACCTATTTATGAATAATGGCTTTTAACTGATGCAAATTTCAAAGAGTATGGTTCATTTGTATTATTAGCAGTAAAATTTGCTGTAAATATTCTGAAAGGAACAAAACAATCTTGCAACAATTACAAAGAATTGTTCAGCTGTCTTTAACTTTTTTTAGGAAAAACTCCTGCAGGTCAAAGTGGAATGACTTTTCATACTTCTGGTGCTATGCACCAAGCACAATGAATGGCAAAAGCACACTGTATTCTAATAAAATCTACTTGTTTTGACATCAATTTCATTTAACAAAAAATGAAGAAAAGAATCTCTAAAAAAAAATTATTTTGATTTACATGTAATATTGGTTTACGGCTCCTATCTCTTCATCTGTTTCTCACAATGATCTGACGTTTATAAATGCGCATGATAAAATATAAATGCCGTACAGTGAAGTTTATATAATAAGTAGCTGTTTAGAATTGCCCTGCCAATAAAGAAAAGGCATCTTTTGTAGTCCAATTCATTGTCTTACGCTGGTAAGACAATGAATTGGACTACAAAAGGTAGATTTGGGAGATGCGCAGCTATATGTTACTGACAGGTAACATATAGCTGCGCATCTCCCAAATCTACCCCTCCCATGACTCAATTGTAAAAGGTAACAAAATTTGGCTCCTTTTTTACCTCTTCTGTGATGAAATTCAGTAAAACTTGCTTTGGCAACAGTAGACAATAATACAGGTTTTTTTTTTACCATCTCGGTATGCCACACATAACAAAGGACCTTTTCTATATTGGCAAACTTCTTTATTTTTTAATTTTGTTTCAAGTCAGATTTCTGCCAAACCTTTTCTTTTTACTCTTACTGTGCCTGTTGCTGTGGTCTGATGTAGAAAAAAGATTCAATTAGGGAGAAGTATATTAGTTATCAATATCAAAATGAAAACATTAATGGAGGAGGTCGGTTTGATGCAAAAGACAAAAAACCAAGTTGTAAGCCATACCATAAGCAACAGCTGCATCATCTGGATCTTTTGCTCCCTTGTAAATTTCAAACTGAGACAAATATTGGTGCAGCGCTCAAAATAACGGCCAATCAACGATCAGCTATTTTTAGGGAAATTTTGAAAAATCCAAGGGATCTGAAACAAACCATAATTTTATTCCAAACCGAGAATGACATTTGTTTGGCATATATTGGCCAAGATGTGGTGTCTTTCCCTTGAAACCAACCATGCTCTATCTATAGAAATATCTTTTTAGGGAATATAAAAATACAGAAATTTCTTGTTAAAATGTTCAACTAAATACTGAACTGAATAGAGATATCAGTAAAGCGAATAAACTTAAGCAAAAATGGAAAATGGTCACGATTGAAGTGGGTAACAAACGAGGGAGTTGAAGTACAAGGATGACTAATATCCCAATACAGTTTAATATTTGCTTTCTTGATGAGACCAATAATGATAACAACACCAAGGAATTCTTTTATTTCTAAAAGATTTGTTTTTCCTTGTTTTATTCATACATGACCTATCGACCATGGATGGGACATCAAATGTTGTTGATTATAAATGTAAAATCATGCACATAGGTAAAAAAAACAACTTTTATGTCTACTCAATGCCAGCTAATGACAATATCAGTGTAGAACTAGCATCGACTTTAGTTAAACATGATTTAGGCATCATGATTACGCCAGACTTAAAATGGCATAACAATTCAACTTTTGCAACCAATAAAGCTAACCGTGTATTAGGCATGTTGTATCGTACTTTCAGTCACATGACTCCGCAACTACTTAAAATTCTATATACAACCTTTGTACGACCTCATCTGGAATTTGAGGTAGCAGCCAGTAATCCATCATCAAGAATAGATATTGACAAAATCGAGAAAGTACAAAGAAGAGCTACCCGTTAAATACCTTCGTACCGTCATACGTCAAAGATCGCCTGATTTTACTAAACTTAACATCTTTAGAAACCTGTCACATTAGGAGAGATCTGATACAGGCCTATAAAATTATTAATAATATAGACATTGTCTCATGAAGTGAACCCTATGTCCTTCGTGTTGGGGAGTCAGATAAAATAAAAACTAGAAGACATCATCTAAAAATGACTAGAGAATATGTTCAAAATTGCGAGCAAAGGCACCAGTTTTTTACTAATCGAATAGTGAATCATTGGAATGCATTGCCGTCAGAAGTTGTATGCGCTTTATCACTTAACAGTTTCAAGGCTAAGCTTGATGCAGAAATTTCAAATAATCCGCATAAGTATTGAGATTAAAACTAAAAAAAAAGGAAAAACAATAAAGTACAAACTTATACTTCATACTATATATCTTATTGTAAATTTTTATATATTGATATGAATAAAATTAGTGTATGAAGTAGATAAGGCTGCCAAAACCTGTAGGTTATACAGGGAAACCTGTTGCAGCAATTTTTCTACTACTACTACTACTACTACTACTACTACTACTACTACTACTACTACTACTACTACTACTACTACTACTACTACTACTACTACTACTACTACTACTTCTACTACTACTACTACTACTACTACTACTACTACTACTACTACTACTACTACTACTACTACTACTACTACTACTACTACTACTACTACTACTACTACTACTACTACTACTACTACTACTACTACTACTACTACTACTTTGTATCCATGCACCAGCATACTGGCATAAGTTACTAAATTTTCCAAAAATTCTATGGTAAAAAATAAGTGAACATAGTCAATGGGTTTTGACTCAAAATAGTATGTTTGGGTCCAGCATCACCATCAGAACTGGAGTCTACATAAAAATGAAAACTTCAAATGCTTAGATTTTGTAAAATATTTGAATTAAATAATATTGTATACCTTTTTTTCAATAAAAAATATTGTGCCTTCATTGAATAAGCGATCTACTTTTATAAAACTTTTTTCCCTGTCACTTATCTTTAACACGAAATATTCACAAATAATATATTAAAAGAAAAAAAATGTGCTCTATTCAATGATACCATTTTTAATTTATGAACAGCAGTTTTTGTATAAAAAAAAAAGTCATAGTTCTAAAGAATACTTTAACTCTGTGGCTCTATGTGCTCTGATGGTATAACCACGATTCTTATCCCTTTGAGCATGGCTCCCCATGCTCAAAGGGATAAGAAGTAGAATAACTTGAAAATATTTGACAAAGAATCGGCTGAATCTGCCATAACACCCATTGCAGGAAATTTATGGTATTCAACTCAAAACTTTGTGAGCCTCTTTTTTTTCAGCAATTATGTTGATAACCAATTAAAATAAAAAATAGATGAAAAACATTTGAAAAACTAGCCAAAAAACTCAGGTAAAAAGGCTTGAAATAAAATGATTAATGGATAAATTGTAAGCATGGCTCCCCATGCTCAAAGGGATAAGAAGTAGAATAACTTGAAAATATTTGACAAAGAATCGGCTGAATCTGCCGATTAGATTAGATGACTGTAACAAAGAGATCAAAATATGTATTTGAAGAGCTCGAAATAACTTGGACATTTATGAAGAAATATTGCACAGTAACCGAAAGCCAGGAAGCACATAAAATTGTTTATACTATAAAATTGTTTATACTATGCCATAGTCAAAGGGGTTGATTACACAAAAGCCTTGAAGAAAGATAAAACTCAATAGCAATATATTTTACAAACAGTTGAAGAAAATAGATGCCAAATTCAAAACATTATAAATATAAGTCCACAATTGTTAAAACATTAATGAAAACAAGTGAGCAATCAACAAATTAACAATCTGAATAGCCTTGATTAAAATCATATAAATAACACTAAATTTGAATAAAATAATTAAAACTTTGTATTGGAAAAAAATTAAAATTTGCTTGTTTTTATTTTCTGTTAACCCTTAAACCTAATAATATCAAGTCATACTTAAACAGAAATATTTTGAAACTTCAGTACATCAAATGAGGAGTTGGGTGCAATCTAGAATTACAGACATTTGTAATAAATAAAAAATTCTTTGTTTTTTTGTTTTTTTTTTCTAAAAAAAAGTGTCTGGTTTTAAGTTGGCATTTGTATAAAAAATATTTGTATAAAACTCGAAATAAACAAAATATATTACGATTTCTAAGTGTGCAGGGATAATATAATTAGATTGCCTGTTTAGGTTGACAGTCTTACTGACATTATACTGATACAGCCTGCTGCCAGGGGTTTCAGTACATTCATAGATTGACGAATAATTAGAGCATGCAAGGGAGTGCCACTTCATCAACTAAGGGTTTGGGCTGGGGTAGCAATCTTAATATTATTACTTTTTTTTCTTCTGAAAAAGCCTTATGGAATTATATAAGCAAAAAAATTAAGCAATTGCTATTCTAAATCTGCATTTATAATTATGTGTCTGTGTGTGCGTATATATATATATATATATATATATATATATATATATATATATATATATATATATATATATATATATATATATATATATATATGTATGTATATATATATATATATATATATATATATATATATATATATATATATATATATATATATATATATATATATATATATATATATATATATATATATATTACTATTATTATTATTATAATAATAATAGTAATAATAAAAATAGCAGTAATGAAAAAAATAAATTAAATTGACAAAAGCAATAAAGTTTCTATAAAAAAAATAGTAAGAAGAAAAAGTCAAATAAGAAAACTAAAAGAAGTTAATAATGATAAAAATTTTTTTTAGAACTTGTTTAAATTTATTTTGTTTAAAATAAAAAAATGAAGATAAATTATTTGAAGTTAATTTTTCAAACTCATTCACGATGCACACAAGACTTTGATTCCATTCACTGATACACTGATGTGTAATTGAATACTTATCATTCCTCAAAGTTTTATAAGGAGGCACATTTAGTTTTCCATTATTGATGTTTCAAATTAAATGTGAATGTATAAATCGAGTTTCAGTAAAGAAGATTGTAATAGAGGATAGTATATTTTTATTAAGGGAGTTAAATACAAAAAGAAGATTAGCAAATCTAACTAGTGCTGACAAGGTAGGAATTTTAGAAAGTTTATGTATGATGGAGTTGAAAATTTATTATTCAGATTGATTGGTACTGAGCTGATAATAGTTTATTAATATTGCAGTTGCCTATTCGTCCCTAAACCAGACAACAGTAGTTGAGATGAGACTGAAAAATTGCAAAATACAGATTTTTAAGGGTAGTTTTATCAATATAATGGTGAATTATTGAAAGCATGCCATTAGCTTGATTAAGTTTTTTATGGAATGCATCTATATGAAAATTCTATGAGAGGTTCGAATCTACAAAAATACCAAGATATTTAACAGCGTGTGTTAAATATAAATGTTTATTATTAGTTTTAATTTTAGTTATATGATTGTTGTATAAAAGTTTTTCTCCTGGAGATGAGAAAATTATTAGTACAGTTTTTTCCAAGTTCAGAGAAATTAAGTTTGCATTTAACCAATGAAATAAATCTTTTAGGTCTAAGTATATATTTTTACACAAGGAATGATGAGACTTAATAATATGCAAGATATTTTATCAGCAAACAGATGGACTGATGAGAAGTGGACAGAGTTATTTAGATCATTAATATCAATCAAAAACAATAGAGGGCCAAGAACAGAACCCTGGGGAACACCATAAAGTTTGTGTTTGTTATTTTATTTGTAACCATTAATGCTAACAAACTGCTTCTGATTTGAAAGATAAGAATGAAACCAATTACAAGCAACTCTTCAGATTCTCCAATGTTTAAGTTTAGAAATTAAAACATTTATTGACATTTTTGACATTTATTAGACTTTTTATGCCTTTACAGATTTCACGAAAAAAATAGGAGTTGCTAGATTTCCTGAAATAATTTGGTTAGTAGTTACATTTGAAAAATTATTGTCAATGATTGTAGCAGAATGGTCAGTAACTCTCCTTGATCGCGTAATAAATGGGCAAATATTATAAGAAGTAAGTTTAAAAACTCAAAAAATATATGGAAAACTAGGAAAAAACTCAAAGAAACACCAGAACTAACTTCTATCCTTAAAAAAGCCCCTGTCTATCCTTAAAAAAGGTCTATCCTTAAAAAAGCCCCTGCTTACAATAATAAAACAAAAAAATGTTTACTTATATAAAACTTTATATGAATATATACTTTATATGAAAAACTAAAATTTTACTTTATAAAAACGCTAAAGAGCAACAAAAAACAGAGTTAATTTCCAAATGTTGTCACAAAAATAAATTTCTGTTAAGCAACCACAAACCTGAAAATTAGATACACACAGTTATAATATAGTTTATTTGTTTTTTTCTGTACAGTTTTACATAACTAGCTCCTATTGTATATAATTTTTTAACAAAAAAACTATATTTGTATTTCACCTGATGATTGCAACAGAAAAAAATTTAAAGTTGTGAAAATCACTTAGTTTTATTTTCCACTATATTATAGCTCTGACTTATTTCATCGAACTCTTTCTTGATAATATATGCACAAAACAGTATCACTATAATCACTATAATAATACTTAATGTAAGTATTAAAAAAACGCCAGGCGTAGTTTTGGCGAGTGTGTGGGCGAGCGTGTTGAAAACTGTAAGAGCGCGAAAGCGCTTGTCAAACAGAGAAGACTGTATAAATATATATATATATATGTATGTATATATATATATATATATATATATATATATATATATATATATATATATATATATATATATTTATATAATACTTACATTGAGTAATAAGAAAACCTGATAAATAAAATTTATAGAAATTATAACAGATTTAAATTACCTTTTTTAACTTTGTGATCATCTTCTGTTACAGCTTCTCTTAAACCCTGCATACTAAATTTAAAAAATAGGAAAGATATAAACATAAGAAAGTGGATCTGGTTGTAAGTTAAAAAAATTTAGATAAAAAACTGTTCCAAAAGATTGAAATATATCTTTAAAAAACTAATACAATCTTTTGAATAAAATACTTATATCTAATGCTTTTTTTCTGTTAGAGCACACCGGATCAGAGTTGCGGAACCTTTTTTTTATTATATAAATTTTTTTTTCCCCCTCATATTATTATATAAATTAAACTTAATTCATTTTTAAATATTTTTAATCCAAAAAAAAAGTTGTACAAAATTTTTTTTTTAATTGAAAATGCAAATGTGGGTTGTAAAGATCAAGTAAAACATATTTTGCAGATATGAAAACATTACAGCGCTGCGTTTCAGAATCTGTTGTTTTTTTAGTAAAAACTATATTTGCTTGAGAAAAATTTTCTTTAACTTATTTTTTTGTTTATTTTGTTAGTTTTTATAATGCCAAATTATTTTTTATCCAATCCATATCAATTCCACAAGCATTTGCGTTTTTAAGAAATATTATTGTTTATGTAGGATGTCCGATGATGTTATGTCCGAATATCTCATAATACCTTATAATGATTTTTTAGAAAGAAATGCAAGAAATCAAAGTTAAAACGGCAGATTTATCTTCTGCAGACAATCATACCAACTAAAGCTGACTAATTTGCTGGACATTAGAGCAAAAAACAGATTTTTTTTTCAAAAACAAGTAGCTCTGTTTTTGACAAAGCTTGGCTGCACAACCTGCCAAAAAGTGAAATCACTTGGCATAGAAGATTGGAATGAAAATATCTAAAGAATGGTCCAATTATAAAGTTTCTTATTTTAGCGAAGATAGAAAGCAACAGTTAAATTTGATACATAAGAAAACATTTGGTCACAAAAAATGGGGACTTCAAGCTGCATTAAAGATAACAGAAGAAGCTAAAAAAGAGACTCTTTCAAAAAGTCTTTAACGCGTGAGAAAATTGTGACAGCAAACATTTTTAGAACTGAATACAATTGCTAAAAAATATTGCCGTACAGCAAATATTAAATTAGTATTTACCTCACTGAAAATTTCTAAATTCTTTTCTTCTAAAGATCCTATACCTCTAGAATTCAAATCATTGGTGGTCTATAAATTCGTATGTGCAGAATGTAACTCCTGTTATATAGGCCAAACTAATCACCATTTCAAGATGTGGATATCTGAATATTACAAGAGAGATAAAAAATCTCATATCTATATACATCACCATGCTAATGAAAATTGTTTCATGCAAATAAGTGATAAGTGTTTTTCTGATTCAGATTCAGCATCTAACAACTTCAAGTTAAGGTTAAAGAAAGTATGTTCATAAAATGGTTAAAACCTGGTATAAATAAACAGGTTAACCATGTCCAAATGACACTTTCTGTTTAGCTACTACTTTCTATACATATTGCGTATCTTTTTAACCTATTCTTTTGTTATTTCCTATTTCTTAAGTATGACATGATAAAATTTTTAATTGATTTTATTGTATTTTTGTAATTATACTAGTTTGCACAAGAATAATTATAATTTGTATTGTTTTTTAACACCTTTATAGGTATTTTTAAATATTTAATTTTAACTGAAGATGACAAGTGTTCGTCAAAACATGTATTGTTTTTTATTATTAAAATGGTTTTTAAAATTAGAAAATTTTTCTTGTTTATGAAAACATTTTTAGAACTGCATAAAAAATTGCAACACAATATTTATGGGTACCTGAAACTAAAGGTCTTTTTCAAGTATTGTTTTTATCTTTATAAGCATTATTTTTTCCAAAATTTAAGTTTGTTTTAATTTCTCGAACCATTTCTTTAATGTCTGACTCTATATATTCAATTAGCTGGTATAATGATACAACATGCTTACAACAGCCCTCTATATCAGCTTTACAATTGCATTTAGCATAAAGTACTTCACCAGTAGACTGCCACAATTGTGTAAAAACTATGTATTGTTTACGCTTCAAAGACACTGCAAATTACACTTTGTAATAAACAAATTTATGGATGCTTTTACATTTTTACAAAGTTTTATTTAAATAAGCGATAACCAAGAGTTTAATGCTTTTCGGCTCCTCTTTTAAATTATCCACAGATATAGTCCCTTTAACAAGATAATCTTTGATAAAATTGTGAGTTATATTTGGCTAAAATAAATTGTTTCTTGTAAAAATTAAAATACTGTTTATAGATTCCTCCTCATTAAAAGCAATAAGTTTATGATGTTTAAGGTCACAAAAAACAGATTTAGATGCTGGACAACAATTCGGAGAAAAACTAGCATCTGTTTTATTTTCTAAATTAGCAGTAAAAGAACTCATCATCAACCCTCGGAATTAGAAAAATTGAGGTCAGCTCAATGTTTTAGAGATTGGCAAAAAAAAAAATTGATACAAAGGTCTTACCATAAAACATCAAAACAAGGTCGGCAATTTTTTGCTGACCGCAAAAACTTTTAGGTCGGCATTACCGAATGCCGACCCTAATTCCGAGGATTACATCACTGTAGCAATATCTAATTCAAAAAAAATTGAATACACTCAAATAATACATGCATTGCGCATTTGACGATTTGTGGGAAAAGCCTATTGCTTCATTTTTGACATAAAAAAGATTTTTTTCTAGAAAAAAAGCACTGCTTTTATCTTTGATAATTTTCGATGTATTTATTGTAAAATTAGTTTTTAATTTATTTAAAAGCATTTTACATAAAAGCATAATTTAAAATTTTAAGTATCCAAATCATTTATCTAAAATCAACACTTTTAATAAGTCCTATTTTTTGTCTAATAACAAGCTGGCATGTAAGCAAGATTGTAACAGTGTACATACTATTTTGTATAAACGTTAAATAAATATGTATTGATATAATTTTTTATCTGATTGATTATAATTGTCTAAGCATTTCATCTAATTTTGGAAAAAGTAATACACAACATAATAAATATAAGTGTATTTTTTTAATGAAAATTATGCAAAATATGATTACATACATAGTTTAAATTAATTTACCATTCAAGTTTACCAAAGTAATTTTTAATAGTTATGCTATTTAAAACATTTTTTTTCAAGAGCAAGAAAAATAATTTAACTTAGTTGTTGAAGTTGTAAACAAGTATGATATGATAACATTGGAATGATTTTATAATCTTCTATTTAAGAAATACAAAAATATGCTTTTTTGTAAGTTTTGAACAAAAAAAATTTATTTAATAGTAGGTATGAATAAATACGCACCATTACTTGTGATTTAAAATATATTTTTAAAGGTCAATCATACACACCTTAGAGCACCAACTCGACCTGAACCTTCAACTGTTTTAGCACCCCATCTTTGTTCTTGTTCACTGACATCATTCTAAAAGAATAGACGAAATAAAATAAATAAAACTAGAATAAAACTATATACCTAAAAGCACAAATATATAAAATGTCTAAAAAGGGCAATACAAGTTATAAAAGAAAGTGTATAACAAGCTAGGAGACAGAAAGATTATAAGATAGACAAAGAAAGCCTGGTGAACAATTTCAAAAAAATGTGTGTGCATCTTTGGTGTTTTTGCTTCTTTATATGTATATCAACGCTGTAACGAGAATATCTTCAAAAAGATAGTTAGCTCTAGTATTGAAAATTAAACATCATTCCATTGCATAATTCATTTATTGCAGCTTGTCAATAACAATGCAGCTTTATAAAAAAATATTAGCAATAGATTTATTAGCTAAAGCACATAAATTATTAGGGCATTGTACAGAATTTAAGTTATTGCAACAGCAATAAAATAAAACAACTTTAATATTAGGGCAAGATGTCCCAACTAATTGAAATAGTGCATAATTTATGTTAGAGCGATTTTAGAAACTTAAATCTTCAAATGATCATAATGAGCTGTCAACATTTACAGTAGTTCTAAATATATGTACTTATAAATAAATATATCTACTTATCTCTAAATATATGTACTTAGCAAAACTTTTCATCAAAAGTAGATCAGAAATATGATAAAGCTCAAACAAGAAAACAAATTTTAGCATCTTTAAATTAGAGATTCTTTTCTCAATATAATCTGGGTATTACAAATGAGGAAAGATATGCTTTACCCGCTATTATTGACATTTTGCTACTAGCCCTAATTATTTAACCCCTAACCCCCTTCTGCACCCTCCCCTCTCCCCCCCCCCCCCCCGAAAAAATGAATAATTGATTTTACAGTGAATGATTTTAACTCTTGCTTTTCAGAACAAACAGATTCTTTAGAACTTAAAGAATATGAAGAAAATAGAGATAAGATCTTTTTTTCTGCTTAGAAGAAAATATTTACAACAAACTTCCTTTTAATAACACTTTGCCAAAACTAAATAAGATTATTAATTTTCATTTTTATTAAAACTCATTTAATTATTATTTAATTACTTTATATTATAATTTAAATTTTATATTTAATTGTAAATTTTTCATGTTGTTTTTTAAAAATGTTTTGCATATTTTACTTTATTTCATATTATAAAACTATAAATGTAATTACAAAAGTTATCTTCAGTTGTTACTATTTTTCATAACACGATGGTTGTAAAAAAATTGACCAAATCTCCCTTGTACAAGCTGCTCAAGAAGTTATGTTTTTTAATTACTCAATTATAGATAAAAACAATGATAAATATAATTAAAATTTGATTTATTTGAAACATGAAGAAAAGTTTCCACAGCTAAAGAAATTAGCTCTTAAATTATTAGCACTGCCAGTATCTTTTGCATTTTTGGAGATATTGTTTTCTGAATATAAAAATACTTATGAGAAAGAATAATTAAGGCTGTTACCTCAATGCAGAGAAATATTATTTTTTATACATTGTAAGTTAAATAATTTTATAAATAAGTGATAAAATCTGTATTTCTTGCGCAGTTAATTTTTAACTATTTGAACAATAATTTATTGAACATGCGAACATTAGATTATTTAAAAAGATTAACACTTTAAAACTTTTGTTTAAGATTCTCTCATTCTCAGGGACTATTCTAGAAAAAATGATGAGGGGGAGGGGTGTACCAACTACTTTCTACAAATACCCTACCCAAGACATCCCTATAATTAATAACCATTATTTTTTTTTTTTTTTTTTGACAATATATCCAACAGGAATTAATGAGATTCTTATTCAGACCTGTCAAGTTTTCAAAATTGGTATGAGGGAGACTTTATGATGTTGCTGACCACAAGAAAGAGTTTTTCAATTTTTTTGTTTATACGAGAGGGAGATAAATTGCTCTTAAAAATTTGTGAGACTCCCGAAAAATGGGGGAAACTTGAATTGAGGTTTGCTCATTATGTGATAACACTGCTTTTAAACTAAGCTTTGATGTATCAATAAAGATTCTCTAATCTTTAGGTTTGCACTCAATATTGACTGAATTCATTAGTCCATTCATCTCATGGCAAAAATACATACATACATATATATATATATATATATATATATATATATATATATATATATATATATATATATATATATATATATATATATATATATATATATGTATGTATATATATATATATATATATATATATATACCCCTTTTAACTTCTGAACCCTGAAACAACAATATAGATAAACAACTTAACAATAGAAAAAACTACTGTTTGAGAAATGAATATAATTACAATGAATTATATTCATTATATTATAATAACAACAACAATAATAATAACAATAATAATGATAATAATAATAATAATAATAATAATAATAATATTATCTTTTTGAATGCTAGGTGGTGCCATAATATTATTAATATTTATTATTCACTCATCCATTTAGATATATATTCAAGACATTATGGTATATCTAGGACTAGCGCATTATATTGAGATAAAGGAAGGAATGCTTTTAGTGTTAAATGATCATCTGAGTAATGTTTTAATTGATTATATTTTATGTTTTAATTGATTATATTTTATGTTTTAATTGATTATATTTTATGTTTTAATTGATTATATTTTATGTTTTAATTGATTATATTTTATGTTTTAATTGATTATATTTTATGTTTTAATTGATTATATTTTATGTTTTAATTGATTATATTTTATGTTTTAATTGATTATATTTTATGTTTTAATTGATTATATTTAGATATTTGTATAGTGGTCTGATATAGAAGTTAAAAAGTTTTGGACCCAGGACTGTACCTTGTGGTGCTCCATATATTACATTTTGGTTCATGGAATATCAGTTACCAATTTTAACTTTTTGAGTACAATTAACTAAAAATGACAATAACTATTATTGATGCTGTATTTTCCTAAATTTGGAAAATATAGGACCTACAGCGTATTTTTTAAAATACTTTTATTTATTGTTTTATATAAAAATATTCTAAAATAAATTTTAAATATTATTTATTATTTTGTTTTTCCTTCATTATCTTTTTTTAATTCTTTTATATTTTTGTTATTACTATTTTTATTACTATTGTTAGTATTGTTATTATTATTATTATTATTATTATTATTATTATTATTATTATTATTATTATTATTATTATTATTATTATTATAATTATTATTATTATTATCAAAGGTACTTTTACTAACAAAGAATGCATTAGATTTGTTGACTCAGCAAAAAGTTTAGGGATGATACTTGACAATGAACTATCTTTAAAAACACAAATAAATAAGATTGTTAAAAACTGCTACAATATATTGAGCAAAATAATAAAATAATTCTTATAGCACAAAGATTTGTGTACCATAGTATGTTCACTAATATTTTTACAGCTAGATTATTGCAACATCTTCTACTTTAGAATTGTCACAATTAAAATGCTGTCTGTTCAAAATTGTAAATAAAAATGCTGTCTGTTCAAAATTGTGACTGGTATTTAAAACTAGAATAGAAAATCCTGTAAGCAACCAGGAATTTAACAAATTGCATTGGCTGAAAATTAGAGAAAGAATATATTTTAAGGTCCTTTTAAGAATGCTTAAATCTATTATACAGGAAGCATCAACGTCATTATGTAACTTAATTCACTTTTCAATGTCAGAAAGAACACTAAAATTAAAGAAAACACTTATATAATAATTTGTTACACAGCTAAGCAAGTGTTTTATCCACTATTTTGGCAAAATATAGTAGTTGTGGGTAAACAAATGTATTTATAATTTTGTTGAAAATTTATATAGTAAAACATAGCATTTGCATAATTAGAAATACACTCTAACTAAAGCTTCAAATATAACAAAAATTTTTAAAAGTTTTAAAATTTGAACTAAGGAAAAATCATATTGTTCTAACAAGTTCTATTTCAAATCAAATAAGTTAACTAATTTCAGCGATTTGCATAACAACTTACAACTTACAACAAAGTCAGCATCTGTTTCCCAGTCATCTGAACCTTCTTGTGTAGCTTTCACATCGTTACCTGCTCTCCACATTATGATTCTTCTATACACAAAAAATAAAAACTACTGCAACTGTAAGAAGTTGATAAAACTCAAATTAGAAAAGAACAGCTTTTTATTTGTGTAAAATCAACTACACTGTCTTAAAAAATGAATTATTTGTTTACGGTTCCTTATTTTAAAATTAAAGCTTCAACGGGAGTTTAAAGGGCGTATCTAAATGTGGCAAGAGGAGAAATTTTACTTTTTAAAAAAGTGATTTGCGGTGTAACTTTTTTCTCATTTACTGTTAACTGAAAAAAGCATGTTAAGGATTTACTTTTTTTTTTTTTTTTTTTTTTTTTTGTTGCAAAAAACAATGTTGCTAGCAACCATTATTTGAAAGTTACAAGAAATCAAAAGGGAGTTTAAGAGTAAGCAAATGGTTAATAGACCCCAGTAAACATTATATCGCCGATTTTCAGTGGACCTATACAGGCATTTTGAGCGTTCCGCTATAGTTTTGCTTATCTTATCTTATACTTAGTGGACTACTAGTGCAAACCACCAATAGTTGCTAGCCGATGACTAGCCACTATATCACAAAGTTGGAAAGTTATCGGCTGGCCACTTATGGCGGATGCAACAAATGGTCTACTAAATAACCAATGAGCAAAACTTTATGAACCGATCAAAATTTCTATATTGGTCTTCTGCAAAACCACTACAGCAATATTCGCTGGGATAGCAAACATTGCTGTAGTGAATTGGCAGTGGAAAATTAGTAGAGAATTAGCAGCCGCGTCGCAGTGGTAGCGCACTTGCCTCAGAAACAAAAAATCCGTGGTTCAAACGAAGGAGGCGGTACTTCCTACCAAATGCTCATCCGCGGTGCTCTGTAATAAAACCGTAAAAACTTCTTGGGGCATCTAAATAAAATTGAAAAAAAAGCAGAAGAGAATAAAATTAGGAGTAAAAAAATAGGGAGCACAGCCTTAACAACTCGAAAAACCACACAGATTTCATTTTGCCAGTGAGGAACAAAATAATCAAAAGGTACATTTGATTAGAAAAAAGAAACGGTTTTCAGTATTAATATACTTGTCTAAATTAAGAAGTGTATTATTTTTATTCTAAATTTAATTTAATATTGGCTGACTTGAACAATTGGTATTAAAATAATGGCTGCTTATTAGCTCTTCTATAACTCGATTATAAGGTGAACTTCCATAGTTTATTTTGTTTAAGAAAAGTAATCAAGATTGGTTGTTGTCCTTCGACGGATCTTTTAAAGATAATAAGTGAGTCAGAGGGCAGTCTGTTAGTCTAATGGAATGACTATATTTTTAAATTCTGTCTGAGAGAGGTGGTTCTATTTTATAATTATGAAGAACTTTCTTTTTAATTTAACCAAGTTAGAATCATCTTAAACCAAGTTTGAATCATCTTACTATTTATTTAGCATCTCTTCACTTAATCACATTTCTTTTTTATCATTTATTGTTCACCATTTTCCTCAGACAGCATTCTTTTTATTGTTGTTTCTGATCATATTGACCAAGCCCATTATTCATTATTCATCAGCTAAAATTTCATATTTCATATTCATCAGCTAAAATTGTTGCTATTAGTGACTTTAATGATTATTATACTGACCTAGCTCTAATACCTCTAACCCTGTTGGCTTCAAAGCTCAGAAATATTTGTCCTTTTTAGTCTCTTATTCAGATAAATAACTTTGTTGCTCTTTATTTATAGTTTAACCTTCACTCCTTGATTTGTGTTTTGTTTTTGACCCTACCTTGTGCTTAAGTTCTCGTTGTTTTCTTTAACATGACTCAGATCATGCTTTGATCTCACTAAAACATTTACATTATGGTCCTTATGCTGATATCTCTTGTCTATCTACTAAATATTTTACCTTGTTTAAAATTTTCTGGATTCTGGAAGACTTGAAAGCTTTGTTCCTATTTGTAAGTTTCAATTCAAGCCTCACTCTACCTCAATTTTTTTATTTGTTGAGCAGCTGCCATTTTTAATCGTAACTATCTCTTTAATCTTTTCTACAATTACAACAGAAAAATAAAATCCTTTTTCTATTGAAAAAAAAATGTAAAAAGGTATGCTTGCCTCAAAGATCCATTTTTCTTAAAATAGAATATTACAGACAACTTTCCTATTACAGTCTTACTTGCCTACAGAAGAACGCCATTTTTGGTTTTATCTTTTAAAAAGTGTGGTCTTTTTACTATTATTAGAAAATTCTTTGAATCTGTTTTTACAAACTTCTGATATCTTATCTTGAGTAAACAAGTTTACTTTCTCACAATTAATAGTTTTTTCAACAAACCTGTTTTACAGCTGGTTTTTAGCCGTTATAACAGAAAAATTTTATCGTAGATAGAAATGGTGAGGCGATTGTTCTTGACATATTAATTGGCTTTGATAAAGTCTGGCATGCTGAGCTTCTCCGTAAACTCGGTTTATATGGTGTTTCTAAAAAAAATTTTTAAACACAGTATTAAAGTGTCGTCTACCATGGGCAACATGGTAGAGGACACTCTTCTTCATTTTTAGCAACTTCTGAAATATCAGGGTTTATAGGTATAATGAAAAATTTATTTTATAATGTTTGTGGTTTTACACGTTAAATCGTTATTTGATAAAACTTAAAAATGATTAATATGAATGATATTTTATGACATAATATATATGATATAATGATATAATATGAATTTACGTTGTTTGTGAAAAGTTATTTGCGTATACAGGCCCGCCGCGACTTCTCATGACACCTGGGGTCAAAACTTCACCAGCGCCTTATCATGTCTAATTTATTCAAAAAATTTTAATTACCGATCCAAACACAAAAAGAATTGAACTTTTTTATTGAATTCACCTCGCGAAGACCGAAGAATCTCTCTTACTTGGAGGCTAATACTAATTTTTAAGAAAAACTGAACAAAAATAAATAAATTTAAAAATTGAAAAAACAGCTTGTCTGTTTATCTATTTTTTTTATATATTTGACTTTATTATATTGCTAGTAGCAGTAAGCTTAAAGTGCTACTCTATGGTCTCCTACATTAGAAAAAGACTATCCAAACTTTATTCATAGCGAAATTTGCAACAACTTTGTTGTAGCACAGATATTTTGTGAGGTTGTACTCACCAACAAATTGGTAAGATGGTCTCGAGTCATTGTAGACCTTAGCGCTGTTTTGACTTGAAAAAGGTTACTAAACGACTGTTCTTCTTCAATGATGGAAACCAGAATCGTGTTAAAAATGGTAGCAAATAACACATTGATTCGAACAGAAAATATAGTCCTTTCTGGTAGATCTTATTTAAAATTGGTGCGCTTCAAAGTATTCAGATAACGAACTTCTCTAACAAGTTTCTTTTGATTCACATTTTTCACATAAATTTACGCCAAAGTTTTGCTTTTTTCCTCGAGTTTCAAGCATGGCAAGACTCAACGCGGCATAGAATCTTTAAGTTTTTTGATTAAATCTTGTATTCCACAACGCTTTTATTTGCGTCTTGAGCTGCGCCAAGTGGGTTTGCTTTTTTATAATTTGGAGTCCATTCAACTCCAAAGATTCTCAATAAGATTTCAATTAGGTGAGCGAGCGGGCTAAGGCATCTTATTTAACTGTTTTTCCTTCATATATTGCTTAATTTAGCGTGCTGTGTGGCGAGAAGCAATATTTTGCTGAAATTGCTAGTTGGAGTCAGCTTTGAAAACATCCATTGAAGATGTTGATTAAGGCGATCAGTGTAAAGATGGACCAATTATAAATCCAAGGGTACAGCCCCAAATGCCAATTGAACTTCTTCCTCCTTAAACTCTTGAGCTACATTGGCAGTTTCAATTCAACTTCTTTACTCAACCTACTATCAGATTCTAAGAGCCATATGAACAAAAACCTGTTTGTCGACTATTCTGCAGCTTAAAACTTATTTTTTGTCTCTTGTTTTTTGAAATTCGGAATCGTTTATTGCAGACTTGTAGTTTTGTAAATACTCTAGTCAATACTTTTTCTAGAGCTTCTCCTCAAAAATTACTTGCGATATTTTTTTTAAGTCCTTATTTTTAGATTTCTAAGCATCGTCAGATAGTTGTCTGACTTTATAATTAATATTTAATGAATTAGTACCCCATGAATTAGTGCACTGTTTTTGGCATGTTGTACAAGGGATAATTTTCAACAAACAACATTGCAGTTTCTGTACAATGGTTATCAAATACCTGTAAAAATATTTTTACAGGTTTGGCCTTTTTTTAGTTCTACACCCACTCTTAAAATATCACCTGAACTTTTTTAATTTTTTAAAAATCTCTGAACTGTGTTCTTTTGATTGATATTACCACATCTTGGTTTGATGAAATTATCTTAAATCAACTTAAATCTTTCTTAAATCAATCAATCAAATAGTCAATCAACTATTAAGCCTTACAGGAGCTGAAACGTTTTATGGATTAAAAAAATTTTGTTCTCATAATATTTTTGTGTCGAATTTAGAAGGCGCTTGCCATCTTTTTGATCTCAGGTTTGAACCCACGATGCAAAAACATTTAAAAAACAAATTCAGAAACCACTGATTTTTTTTTTTAATATAGTCTTTTTTAATAATGCTTGACTGAACATTTTTCATGAAGAAATTGCAGCTTGATATTTCTGCAAAACCCAGATGATAAAGGTAATCTATTTTTTCTCTATACGTGTGATGTCAAATGTACACTTGCATCTGAGTTGCCTTCATCAGCAAAACTCGGTGTATATTCGCTATTACCGAAACTACTATCAAACCCCTACTTAAGAATAGTATTGGGCAGCAGATGTCTGAGGGATGGAAGGACAAAAAGCAAATACTATTTATATACCATTTTAAAAAGTTTCTTGTTGTGGTTGGGTAACCTTTTGTGAAAATTAATCAGATTAAAACCCATTTTCAATTCTTTTACATCGAGTTTACACCGATGTAAAAGAAATTATGTATATATATATATATATATATATATATATATATATATATATATATATATATATATATATATATACATATAATTAGCCCATCCAATTTTGACCCTCATGAACAAATTTAATACGCAGTATTAAATTTGTTCATGAGGGTCAAAATTGGCCCAATACAGTATTACATTTCTGAGTTTTTATAAGCATTTTCAAACAATCGTTTTATCTATACTGATTCTGCGCTTTTTTTTTACTATTATTTTTGTTAACTGGTAGTATTTTAAAAACGCACAACTTTGTTATGAAATTAAAAAAAACGTGGTTTTTTAACTAGGGATGTACCGAAGCTGAAATTTTGCCGAAGCCAAAGCTTCGGCACTATATATGCTTAAAATTTAATCAGCATTCAGATCAGCAGGGGTGTAAAACAAAAAAGGTACCAAAACTAAGGTCCTTGACTAATAATATAGAAAAATCGTATAAAAATGAGGACGCCAGTCAGGGTTGCTGTTCCAGGCAAGGCAAAAGCTCTCAGCGTCCCTGTTTAAAAGTTTCTCATTATGTCGTTTCTGATACTTGACCGCACCGAGCGTTTTTTTTTTACTTAAGCTTTTTTGAAACATTCTCCCCAAATTTTCCTCTTCTAGTTCTACTTTTTCTGTGTGCAAACCATATTAATGTTATATAGCATCTTTTCATGTGCTGTATACTTTATTTTTATTTTTAATGCACCTTTTGTTAATAGAAGTGGATAAAAATCTCTGAACATTACTAGAGTAAATTTATCTTTTGCACTTGATCACTCTTTCTTTAAATAAACACTCTTAGCTGATCTAGTTGTATCTACAACATAAAAAAATCTTAGAAACACACTTTATCTTTTTATTTCTATTTATTTCAATATCTTTTTTTTACTTCTCTGTATTCTTTAAACGAACAATTTCTAAACTAAAAAAAACCCAAGTTAAGACCATTTTGGATTCCACTACAACTGTTGTGAACCTGCTGCTAAAAAAAAGTACAAATGATAGATTTCTCTCTAACTTCTTTTTTACACACTTTTAGGTATTTTTTTTTTTATTATTTTTAACTTTACACTACATAACATTTTCTATAGCTTTTTTTAATCTTTTACACTTTGAAATCTTAATATTCATTCTTCTTCTGTCTCTGTAATGGATAAATCTGCATCAGTATCTGAAATCAAATATTAACTGTCTGTGATAAAAGCTTCCATAGTAATCTAACAACTCTGTAGAGTAAGCTTTAAATAAAATAATAAATAGAATACTTTATAAATTTTTTATTTATAATTATATTATTATTTACTTTATATTTATAAATAAACAGAGACTGAGCAGGCTGATATTTATTTGATTTAAATTGTTTATTTAATTTAAATAAATTTTGATGATAAATATAAGAGCTCAAAGTAATCAAAGCTTCAACCTTTAATTTATTTTAAATAAAATTTAAAAGTCTTCATAATATCATAAGAAGAAACCAGAATATTGGTTTACATGTTTAATATATAAATTCAATTTAGAAGTATTCATAATATTAATAAAAGAGCAAGGATAGTTATTATCATTGTTTTTCTTTTTCTTTTAATTTATCTAGTTTTTGTTGGCTTTTTTTTTTCTTTTTTTATTCTCCTCGTTTATATTTCATTTGCTTTTGTTCCTTTTTTGTTGTTGAGAACTTTTTGTTTTTTATGTCACTCCATTGACTATTTTGTATCTATATAAGTGACACCTAAGCAATATCTGTAAATTTACGATGAAAATTTGTAAATTTTTATTAATATGGTTAAATAAAATTTTAAAAAAATTAAACATACACACAATTTAAAATAGTAGCAACGTATCTTTAATCTTCTTTAAAGAGAGATTACTAAGGTTTATCGGTCAAATGTTGAAACCAAATTTTGTTCTATTTGCGGTAATCCCACACAATAATTAATATGAATTTGTTACATAATACAAATTAAGGTTTTAAAAACTTTTAATTTGTTTTAAATTATAAGGTTTTTATTCTGCATAAAAATGCTGCTTCAGTTCATCTAAAGTCACACTTGGAAGCTTTCAAAGTGTATGAGGACCTTCCCTAATTTTATTATTTTTTTCAAAATATTTTTACTTATTTATTATTATCCCTTCCATAACAAGACACTTGGGAGTAAATAATACTAAGTATATGGTATAGACTCCAACTTTACCTCTGTAGTCCTAAATTTATAACTTTATTAGACACTGGCAATTAGCTTATTTTTATAACTTGTCCCATAGTAGCTTATAACTTTAATTACTTAAAATTTTTTGCCAAAGCCAAAGATTCGGCAAAAAATTAAACTGGCTTCGGCCGAACCGAAGCTTCGGCAAAATTGCCGAAGCCGAAGCTTCGGTACATCCCTATTTTTAACACAATAACATTGAGGCCCAATACATAGCAATTAGAAATTTGTTATATGTTTTTGATCTCATACAATTCACTTACTTCAAGCTCTGGCTATTTAAAAGGGGTTTGTACAAGTTTCCTGGTTAAAAAATAGTAAGATAAAACTACATCACTTTAAAAAATTTTTTTTTATTGATTTAGGTGCCCCAAGAAGTCCTTACGGTCTTATCACAGAGCACCGCGGAAGAGCATTTAATAGAAAGTTCACGCCTCCTTCCCAACCGATGTCGCAAAACTTGCCCAGATGTGGGGTTTGAACCACAGATCTTACGTATCTGAGGCAAGTGCGCTACCACTGCGCCACGGCTGCTAAAAAAAAACAAAATGTTTAAAGTTCTAATTTTAAAAGGTGAAAACTAACAAAGTATGAAGCTGTTTCACACGCGTTAAATTTTATAAAATTCAAGTTGCATTGCTCTAATATCAGGCATGCTTTTATTCTGAGTAAAATACTTAAAGTGATCCAATCGAATGGTTGACTACATTTCTCTTTCCAGGGCATCATAGTTTTTGACCTGCTACTTTTCTGATTCTGCAATTTTTAAAGCAAAACCTATTTTCATAAGTGTTGATATTTTAGTCTAATTTTTTAAGAATAATTTGTCATAAAGTAACAAATTGTTTAAAAACAATGGTTTGCAAAATAGTTTAAAACGAGATGTAAAATACATAAAAAATAACTCTAAACCAATTTTTTTTTCCAATGAAAGACTTTTCTTAAAATCAATAGAAATATAATAAAAATGAAATTGATAGAAATAGTACTTTTATTTTATCTTACTTTATCTACATTGCATTATTCTTAATTTAAACCTTTAAGATCAAGAAGTCTTTTGGCAGATGTCACACAAGAAAAATGGCAAAAAGTTCTGTATTCAAAAACAAACAAAGGTCCAAAAAGATGTATCAAAATAATACATCTTTTGAATGAATGAATCAAAGCTGAAATCCAGAGAAAGTCCTGAATTACCAGCCACTAGGTCTTGATTTGTATATTTCACCAGACTACTGGTTAATTTTTGATATTCTAGGTCATAGTTTGAAAAAATACCTACGGATGAGACTCCTTCGGACCTTTTGGATACAAAGAATTCTAAAACTTTTAAATTCTTTCCAAGTCGCTGACAACTTACAGCAAAATCGTAAATCTATAGTTAAAGAAACTAATTTCTCAAAACAAAAAATAAATTTCTTGTTTTTAAAAAAAATTGCAGGGTAGGATATTTATTTTTTAAAACAGAAACGTTTTTCTTGAGATATTTGTCTTAAGCTAAAAAATTTATATGTATATAAATATTTATTGTACATTTGCAGCGATTCATTTCAATTCTGATGCAAATTTGCTTTAGAAACAAGAAATCTATGGCAGTAACGGATCCAGTATTTTTTGGTTTTTGAGATAGCTAAATGAAGCAAAATCCAAACATTTGTATGTTTATACTTATGTCAAATAATTTTGCTTTTTAAAAAGTTGCAATGATTGGAGGCTGGGAACAAAAAAACCCTAAAATATTATCCCTAAGTTCCAAACGTGAGAGCAGCAAGATGATGAAATAATTTTTTTGTTATTCTTAACTAAATTTATAAACATTAATAAATTTTAAGTATTGTTTTACAATCTCTAAGCGTTCAAAAATTATGACCATATAAAATTTGTAAAGTTTAAACCCCCCTCAATTGGAGGGAGGGGGTTTAAACTTTATATGATCATAATTTATGAGCGCCGAGAAATGCTATAATACTTAAAATTTATCAATGAATATAAACTTAGTTGAAAACAGCAAAAAAATTATTTTACCAACTTGTTACTCTCACGTTTGGGGCAGGAGAGACAAAATTTTAGAGCTTTTTTGTTACCAGCCTCCAATCATCGCAATATTTTGCAAAGCCTCATTATTTGACATAAGTACAAACACACAAATGTTTGGAGTTTGCGCAATGTCTGTTAGCTACCTCGAACACCAAAAAATGCTGGATTATTCACTGATCTGTGGTTCGATGCCTACTCTAGGCTTTTTTTTTTTTTTTTTTACATGAACAAGCGTAAACTTCCAAGTTAAATGCTTTTCTGCGGTTCTCTGTGATGGGACCATTAGGTTTTCTTGGAACACCTAAAATAACCATAGAAAAAATGTGTAAATATATTTTTGAATCACATCGATACGTTTTTTTATCTAGTTTTATTTACAACAAAAGATCAAAAGTCTCAATCTTTTTTGGAAACCATTTTGAATTTGGATTTGTTGATCTATGACTCCAGTAATAATATTAAAAAAAACAAACATCATTTGATACCGAAACGAGATAAAAATCATAAAATTTGTCGTATGACTGAGAAAAAGCTCAAAGATTAACAAAAAATCACTTTACAATAGCCAAAGTGTTAATAAATAATATATATATATATATATATATATATATATATATATATATATATATATATATATATATATATATATATATATATATATATATATCTGTGTGTGTGTGTCTATATACATATATACACATACATACATAATAAATACTTTTAAAACGAAAATTAAAAAACAATTAGTAAATAAACTTAGTAATGGGAATATAATTCATAATACAAAATCTTATGCTACATATATTTACAATTTTACTTTAGACAATTTCAACGTTTTATATATTCTTTGAAGTCTACTGCTGTGTAAAACAAGAGATATGCAGTATTCGTCTAGAAAAATAAAATAATTAAAAATTTATCTGAAAAAATACAAAGTATATTGACGTTTACAATCGTGTTAAATAAACTTCATACCTTTATAGAATTTACATCAATCTCTTTAACAATACTATCATCAAAATTATACCATTTTTCGTAATAAGGATTTACACAATTTGCAGTATAATGACCTGATTCAAAACTTCCATAATGGTTAATCACTGCATAAAGATGATACTTAGTATGTATTGATTGTGGCGCGACAATATATTTGGACATATTAAAATTTTGCATTGGAAAGTTAACTGTAGTTTGAATTTTATTATGCCAACGACCATCAAAGTGAAACCTATATTTAAGGAAATAAAATCATACTATAAAAAAGTGTAATACTGCAGCATTTCTATTTAGTTAAAATGCAGCCTTAGTCATATTTGAATTTAGCATAAACAACAATGCTTTAATTCCAAAATGTATCTAATAATCGAGCATTACTTCATATTTTTTAGATATCACAAGTTTTTTGAATAATCCACAGATGTTTGTATTGTTGACAGTAACCAAGTACACTTTTTTAAATCCGTGTTTATTAGTTAATGAGCTTAAACTAAACACGAGTTTTCATGAAAAATTTTTCTCGATTGAGTTTGTACCTTTCTTTTAAATTATAAGTTTATTTTAAAACTTCGTTTGATTTTTGAAATTATTATACTATTATTTATAATTATAATAAATTAATTAGAATATTTTCTAACTTAATTTATTTGATAAATTTCAAAAATTTGATTTCTTTCTTACCATTAAAACAAAAATTTTCTTAACTATGTTCACTTTCAAATTTCTTTTTAAGAATTTCAATTATTTATTTTTAAATCAGTATAGTTTTTATTACAAAGTATGCAATACTTTATCTCATTTAAAAAGCGAAACAATTACAGCTATAAAAAACTGTCTAAAACTAAGTAGCTCAATATACCAAAAATTATTTTAACCATTTCAGTATCAAAATTTTGTATACTGTTTTAAAAAAAATCATGATATGCACAAATTGTACATAAGAATATGTAGAATATGTACTTAGTATATAATATTTAGCAATAAATTTCAGTAAATAAATGTAAACCAATTAAGTAAGCAAATAAAAATTAAAACTTGTAACTCAAATTAAAAATAAAAAACTAACAGTGCAGACTAACAGTGCAGAAAAATGGTTTTAAATAGAATTGCTGGGTCTGAAATGGTTTGGTTGCCAACAAATTTGACTTTTATTGAAAAGTTGGGCACATTTTGATGCGATTTTGCATCACTTTAACCGCATAATCGAAAAAAAAAATCGCATTTCTGCAAACCGCCATGCGGTAACGCCATTACTTAGTTTAAAACAATCATTGTCTAAAATTGCGATTCCATTGGTTATTCCAGTCAATATGTTAAAAAAACTTACCTTTTAAGTTGGATAATAAGAACAGGAGGTAATTTCCATATTTCAATAGTCTTAGATGCTTCTCGATATCTCTTGCAATTGGAACACTTCCTTAACAAATAAAAATCTTTTGAAAAATTTAGTACTATATCGCATTATTAATTTAAAACTATATCGCATTATTAATAAAAATAAAAAAAAACATTATTGAACTAACTAAATAAGAGTTTATGACAACTTATTAGGTAGAAATTAAAAATTACAATGTTACAGATGTTGTAGATAGACAACATTGGGATTATTTAATGCAATTTTATTTACTTTATTGCAATTTTTTTAATTGTATAATAAAATCTTTAATTTATCTAACAATGTTACTTTCTATTTATTCTGGAGAGTAAAGTTCATTAATGCTTCACTTATTTATTTTCTAATAAACTAAATAACAAATTATAGTGAAATAAATAATGTTGATAAGTGATGACAATTAATACAGGTGATAGCTTTCATCATGGTGATGACTTTCAATTTGTGGAACACATAACTTATAAAGTAACACATTAATAATAAGATTGGCATTGATAATGAAATGTAGCATGTATCAGGATAATAATAGTGATTGATAATACGCCGACACATGCTAGTATTATTTGCAGAAATCTATGAAGTCAATAACTAGACTGTATAATTTTGATAAAAATAGAAATCTTTAATTAAGAATTCTATGTCGTATATAGGATATGACAACTTAAAAATTTTGCTTAAACCACATTACTACTTTAAATTAAAAAAAAAAAAATTCCATATTGAACATAAGGGCTAATATGGTTTAGCTTTCAATCAAACCCTATTGCACAGAAGAAATTTTGAAAATTTACATAATTGGCAATTATCAAAACCTTTAATTTATTTTTTGATTTAGGTTTTTTTTTTTGCTCTTCTGGGTTTTATTTTTACAAATACATATTTTAATAAAGATTGTTTTCCTTTTTTAAATACACTTTTTTTTTTATTTACTATTTTTCAAAAGACTTCTGTCCTAGTTTAGTTTCTTTTTTTTTTCTTCATATCTTTAGAAAAAATCAAAATTTTTAAATTACCAAAGATTATTACAGAGTAGCCAACTCTTAGTGATTAGAAAATTATCAGGAGTTTTTAAAACCTTTAATAGTTAAATTACTAATTATAAATTAAAATAACTATATTTATAATAGAGAATATTTAAATAAAAATTATGACTGAATATTATAACATTAAAAAGCATAATTTAGCAATTCAAATATTTATAACTTGGACTTATTGAGCAACTGGAAGTGTAGCTTTATTTTAAAAACTGATGCATAATTTTAAAACTTTGCAAACAAATTTTTCAAACAATTTTGTTATTCCATAATGTTTTGGAATAACAAAATATAACATATTTATATTTGAAAAAAATATAAATATATATAAACAATTAGAAAGAAAATAAAAAGTTACCAACTATCATTCCCACCAATTTTTTCAGCTTTTGTAAATGTTTGAATACAATTCTGAAAATTAAAAATAACTGTTAAAATTTGGTTTCAAAAAAAGTCTTCAATTAGAATGTACACTAATTACTAACCTTAAGAGTCCCACTAAATATTAACCTCAAGAGTCTCACTAATTACTAACCTCAAGAGTTGTAGACTGATTACTTGGCAGTGGCAGCTGCAAGCAGTTAAAAGCATCAAAAGTTTTTGAACGTTTATTACAACTTAAACATGTCACTGTGCTGCGAAATTGACCCTAAATCATTATAGTAACCCTCGATAAATTAAAGTAAATTAAACATTTTTTTAGAACTTATTTGTGATAGCGTAAGCGTTATTATGTAGGTGTAATGTAGATGTTCTTATTTAAATATCAAATTAATATTACCTGAAATAGATCAACAATCACTGAATCATTATTTAGCTTGTAATCTTTCCATGCAATATCAGCAGCTATTTCGTCTGATAAATTATCAGTTTCTTTCACTTTAATTATTTCCTTTTTTACAATCTAAACAAAAATATAAAAAGTATAAAGAATGGTATTTATATATAGGTCTACACTAGACAATTTTATAATATACTTCAAACATACTTGTTTTATACATAGATAATATTTGGTTCTTAAATCATTAGACTGGATTGAAAATGCAAAAAGAATATTGCAGCATTTTGAGTCGGAAACTTAATTTTTATTTTTTCAAATAATCAAAAAGAGATCAAAAAATACTTTACTTTGCAGTAGCATAACTATTTCATACCTAGATACAAATTGGTTGTTATTTCAGTATGCTATCATAAGCATTTATGCAGCAAGGACTCCTGAGTCAAAGTGAAGCTAAAAATCACTTCAATGTCCACAGCAATGAGATAAATTAAAAAAGTACAGTTGAATAAAAAGAAACATGTGAACTTAATAAGATATATACATTTTAAATTTAAAAGATTGGTGATAAAGTTTACCAGGATTTTTACTTTCATTCCTTTTTATAGAAACCAATGTTCATCCAAAATCAGAGATTTCATTGTACATAAATCTATTTGTTTTTCATTCAAATGTTAGATTTGGTGTCCAATAAAAATACTTATCTTTGGCTGGTGGCAAGAGACTTTAGGAGGAAGCATTCTTTTTTTTGTTTGTAATTGTTCTTTTTCATAAGACTGCATTCATTTCGATTTTATTTCTAATTTAATTGACCAAGCCCATTCTTGTTATCTTCTTTTAGATAACCCTAATTGTAGTAGCTTGTACTCAATTGTAGTAGCTTGTACTCAATTTTCTTCTGTTTACCTTTAAGTAGTTCAAATTATGCAATAATCTAATTGAAATCTTTTGTCACTCTCCTAAAAATCGTGCCTCTTTTATAATCTTTTGGATTTTGGAAGGCATGGAAGATTTTATTCCTTCTTGGTATTTTTAAGTCAAGCCTCACTCAAATTTTATTATTGCAAAAAGTCTCTGACACAATTTTAGAGATAATCTCACTATTTTCTCTATTGGTCCAATATTCTCAAACTACTAAACTTCTTTATCTCATTTTTATCTATTTGACATTCTTGACACAGTTTTATTAAAGTGTTCTCCAGAACTCTTTTCAATACTATCTAAATTATTTAACAAGTGCTTAACTTAATCTTGTTTTAATGCTTGTGGTTCCAAATTTTAAAAAGTAACTCTAACTTCTCTATTGCCCAATCTTCTTTCTTCTTATTAGCAAAACTTTTAAATGTTTAATAAGCAAACTTAAGTCTAACAACTTACCTTCTGAAAATTTAAAATAGATTTTGATTCTCTTGTTCTACAGTTCTATCATGCGTTAACTGGAAGTGGTGAGGTAAATGGTTTTAGTCTTGATATATAAAACACTTTTGATAAAGTTTGGTATGTTGGTCTTCTCCATAAACTTGCTTCATATGGTGTATCTGGTAAAGTTTTTAAAATGATTGAACCACTCCATTCTAACCACAGTAATTAGGCGCCCTTGATGGACAACACTGTCCTACATTACCAGTAACTTATGGGATACCACAAGGTTCTATACTTGCTCCTGCGCTGTTTCTATATTAATAATCATTCTAGTAATCTTATCTCTAAAAAGATTCATTGCTGGCCCAACTATATACTCTAGTCTTGACAAAAAGTCTTTTTGATCATTTAGAACAGCCAGCCAATCTTAAATATCATTTATATTCCATTCCAAGTTCCAGTTACCATTTATCATGCTAGGTGGACGGGAAAAGCTACTTACAGCCTAAAAATGTTTTTTTTTTAAATTAAATTAAATTAAATTAACGCACTTTTAGACTATCTATGCATTTATTGTTAAAACTTACATACAAGTCTGATTTCGTGTCTTTTACTGTAAAACCTAGAATAATAATTTCCAGTTACTAAAAGCACTTTTTCAGTACTAAGATCCTGGAACCAAAATTTATAAATCATTTATGGTACTTGAATCAGGAAGATGTGTCTAATGCAATAAAGTTGAACTGAATTTTAACAGTAAGTGTAAATGGAATAAATGTAAAATTATGGTTCCTTATAAATAATGTTTGTTAATGTTGCTTGTAAAAAAGAATAAATTGTTATACATCTGAAAAAACTGCTAATTTTTTTGGCAAGATTTAATATACATGCTGACTTTTTAAACAATGATCCATCAACTTTCAGAGTGGTCTACCTTTGGGGAAATCATTATAAGTTTGCAACAATCTGCACTGTTTTTGCTGTTTAGCTAGGCCAATATATTAATGAAACGTACACCTTTAAATACTAAAAACAGAACCACTTTGCAGAAATGTATATCTGATGTGTGCACAAATTTAAAAGAGAAATAAACACATGTAACTATATAAAGTAGTACTTTATTGAGAAAAAAGTTGCTCACTTAAAAACTATTTCTTTAAATAAAACTATTTAAAATCTTGTTCAAATTTGCTTGCCATGGATTTTTTTACACTAAATAGAATGCAATATTACTGCTCACAAGCCCTTTTTTTCCATGGAAGGCTTGTATCATGGTGGCTGTTCAAGCAACTTTTCATCATTTATTACATCAAACAAATCATGTCTTTTCTGATGTAACTTTCCTTCATGCTCAGAAAAGTTATATCTAGTTTTTCCTAGAACATCCATGCTTCAGAATTAATTAATTAAGAATACAAATTTGTGAATATAAAACAACAACAAAAAATATGAAAAACAAAAGAATTAGGTCCAATCTTAGCATCAACTGTTTTGTTAGTGCTTTTAATACATTATATATTTTTTTTAAATATATTTTTAAACATTTTTAAATATATATTTATACATTTTGCTTAAAATTACTGAAACTTGAAAAAAAAGGATGCTGATTAAATAATAAGATTAATTTTACTAATTTACTACAATATTTACTTATAGTAAATAAACATTAAAAAAGTAAAATCAAAGTTTTATTTTTAATTACAATATTTTATTTGTAAATAACATTTTTTTTATAACAATTTTTTTTGTTTCTTGTTTCAAAATTATTTATAAATACATTAAAAATAGTTTAGTGATAAAAAAATAAAAAAAAAATAAAATATTTTGATAACTCATACTTTGTTTACATCTTCATGAAGTCCATCCATAAAAAACATCAAAAGTTCATGAGCATCTTGCTGTTTAAACCCACTAAAATCAGGTGCAAACTTACCCAAAGCAATTTTGAAGTCAATTGGTGAAACAGACCGATATTCTCCTGCTGATATGACAATAATAAGGAAAGCTAACTCACGTGCTAGCTCTCCAGGATGTGCATTAGTGTTGCACAAATTCAGATGTTTCTCATACATTCCAGTTGTAAAATACTTTCCAAGTGGCAATGTGCATGCAAGACATTGAATTACAGAGTTCATATAACAAGTGTTGCCGAGATTTTTTAATCCAGTTAAAACTCGACCCTAAGAAATTATTAAAAATACACTTACTTAATTACTAAATTATGAAAATACACTTACTTAATTACTGCTTATTTTAGCCATGTCTGCTTTAGACATGTATAAATACTTTTTGTTTTAGACATCTACAGCTATGTTTAAAAGTTTAATTAAGAGTTTTTATTTTTAAAAACTTTGGTTTTTATATTAAATGAAAACCAAAAAACAAAAACAAAAAAAACTTTTATATTTTCCATAAATTTTAAAAGATTTTGCTACTTATATGAGAGAAAAACAATAATTTAATATAAAAAATATAAAAGCTATAAAAGCTTCTTTAAAACTAATGGAAAGTTGATGACAAAAAACTTATTTGAATTTATTAATTAGAATTTTTAATGAATTACTGTTTTAATTGATACTTAGTATTTTTGATGCTAGAAAAATAATTTAGTATTAAAATAATAAAACTGTTGAAAATCATCAAAAACTAATTAGGTAAACCTTTTTGTAGTGTGTTCAAAACAAAAAGAAAATCCTATTCAACACATTTAAAGAAAGATACAAAGATTTTTGATAATTAAATACCAAAAATTTTAAATACGAATTGTACTTGTGTTTTACTTCTTTGTTTTTTGTTCATATATTTGTTTTTTAAATGTTTCCACTAATTTTAAACATTAATATAATAATAATTATATTATAACAATAATCTAATTATTTATTAATTATACATTAGTTATATTTAAATTGAACATTATACTGCTATATACATTACTAACAAATAAAAATACTTATTAAAAAAATGAATATTATATAATTACATCAAAAATTATTAATTAAATTAAAGATAAAATAAATTATATAAAATAAATTTATTAATAATCAAAAAAGAAGCTAGACAAATCATTATTATTTAATAAAGTCATATCAAAACAAGTTAAGTTGAGTGTGCTGTATAGCAATTATAGCCTATTTGATATATTTTTTAGAATGACCAGAGCAACTTTTGTTTTCAACTGTGCCAAACTCATTATAGTTTTTGAGCGATCTTGAGGTGGCGTCCAATTTCTCAATTACTGAGACCACTTTAGTGCATGTTAAACACTCTGCACTTTTTTTCAATCTAACTGACTTTCAATAAAACAAGCCCACTAACTTGGTCCAGCTTAGCACTCAAATGCAAAAGTTGCAGAATACCCTGCCACAAGATTTAATTAAAAAAACTTAAAGATTCCATGCCATGAACATATATATATATATATATATATATATATATATATATATATATATATATATATATATATATATATATATATATATATATATATATATATATATATATATATATATATATAAATGTATATATATATATATATATATATATATATATATATATATATATATATATACATATATAAATGTATATATATATATATATATATATATATATATATATATATATATATATATCAAGCCTTCCAGGAAAGGCGTGCGGTTTTATTTCTCGTATGACCATACGCGATTACACTATTTTAGAAAATGTGAACACGGCCGTTTGCAAGTTTTTTAATAATGCTGAAAAAGTTTCAAAAGCAAAAAAAACAAAACTAACAAAATAAAAAGAGATTGAAATAAAAAATAAATAAAAACAAATTAATAATTTAAATAATTTGTGTTCTGTTTTTATTTTTGTTTCTTTAGAGTTACATTCAGCAACAAAAATTAGATAAGACGAAGCAAAAATAAACACAGTTTGAAGTCTACAATAAAAAGAATGATTTTCCTTTTCTTAATTTTTTTTAAGAGGATAGCAAAAATGCAAATTGCAATATGTTTGTAAAATTTATTTCTATAATTTTAATGTAACAACAAGGGTTGAATTAGGCGAATGCAAAACGCAAAATCTGGAAAAATATCTACTATTCAAAATTTTAGTTTATACAAAACCGTATTCCTTGTTTTTAAGGGGAGAATCAACTTAAATTTGTTAGAGAAAAAATAAAAAATAAAACAATAAACTTACGATTACAAAAGTAACAAGTCACTAACTGCGTTACAAAAGTAATAACACTATAATAGTGTAATTATTTTTATAACGCACTTATAACTTTTAAAATTTATTCTTTGTTTAACTAACATTAGTATTCCCAAATTTTAATTGAAGCAGAAAAATATCTAGAAGAATAAAGTAGATGTTCAAATAATATTAAAACTAAAGTAACTTATAAAAACGTGACAAACAACTTTATGAAAACGTATCGTATTAAAAGTTAAGCATTATGAAAAACGTTACTAATGGACCGTAAAAACGTGCGTTAATTTTAAAATTAACCAATAAAAATTTTTTATTGGTTGATTTTAAAATTAATGGGCGTTACGTAATGTTTTTCATGTTATACTTTTCATAAAACAACATTGTTTAAGTGATATGTGACAGTTCCTGAAATTTTTAATAATATTTGAATATCCGCTTTATTCTTTTAGATATTTTTCTACTTCAATTAAAATTTGGAAATACTAATATTGCTTGAACAAAAAATGAATTTTTATTAATATTTGAATATCCGCTTTATTTTTTCTAGATGCTTTTCTACTTTAATAAATGTTTGGAACTAATAAGGTTGTTTGAACAAAGAATGAACTTTAAAAGTAATAAGTGCTTTATAAATGTAATAACACTATTATAGTTTTATTACTTTTATAATGCAGTTAGTGACTAAAGTGTTATTACTTTTGTAGTCATAAGTTTATTGTTTTGTTTTTTGTAACTTTCTCGCTAGCAAACTTTTAATAATTTGCTCCTTATAAACAAAGTACACAGTTTTGTATGAATTAAAATTTTAAAAACCTAATATTTTACCAGTGTTTGCAAACGCGATCGTATTATATAACTCTTGATATAAGCTTGTTACATTATAATTATACAAATATATTTTACAAACAGATGACGATACATATTTTCTCTTTCCTCTTTAAAAGAAAAAACCCATAAAATATGGGAAAGTCATTCTTTTTAACGCCTAAAACTGTTTTTTTTTTTTTTTGCTTTGAATTTTGTTGCTGATAATAATAACCACTAAGAAAAAACAAAAATAAAAACAACACACAAATTATTTAAACTATTATTATTGTTTTAATTTAAACTATTATTAATTTTTTTAAGTAGTTATTAAATTTTAAACAATTTTTCAGCAACGCATATAATAAAACTTGTGCAAATGGCCGTGATCACGTTCTCTAACTTGAAAAACATTTTTGTGGTCGTACGAGATGAAAAACCGCACACCTTTACTGGGAAGGCTTGATATATATATACAGGGTGTTACCCAGGAAAAAATTTCATACAGTGCTTTTGCGAAATTGGGAATTTAGGTGCGGCTAAAAAAATATTAAAAAAAAAAAAAAAAAAGTGAGTATACTTCCATTTTTTAGATATAATTAAATTTTAATCAAAATAAATGTTCTTGTTTTGCTGGGTGTTATAAGTATAGCAGGATTATTTTTCTACTTTATAAATGTTTAATTCTAATTATTTAGTTTGTTTCATTATGTGAAATCTTCACGTTTTCATTTTTAAATCGTTTCTCCTCTTTGTTTGATATACTGTAGCCATTTTTCAAAAAGCCTTAATAGGCTTATTACGTATTTCGAGAAAAACGTAATTAAAAAAAATTATTTGGAGAAACTCTTTGTAAAACGCTTTTTGAAACTAATAATTTTTATGAATTTTTTTAAAACTCTTTAAAAATATGTATTCAAAAACGTTTGTAGACATCTAAACTAACTTATTTGGTAAAAAAAGCCAAATTGATTTTTTTTTACATAAGACGCTTTAAAAAACTGCTGCAGTAAAGAAGAGAGAAAACAAGAACTTAAGACAAATGTTTGCTGTTTTAATGAATGTATTATTAAGTTTCATTGAAACTTTGATCTAGATTAATTGCGTACATTGCTTTTTTAATACAGTTTTAAAAGGTTTAAACGATTAGTTCTGAAGAAATATATTTGACTATATAACTATTTAAATACTTTAGTATTTTAAAATACTTCAAAAACTTTTTTACAAATGTCAAATTTTTATCATTAGATAAATTTAACAGTTTAAAAACTTATTTAAATCAATAGCTTTTAAATGAAAATTGAATGAAAGTTTTTTCGAAATCTTAATAACTTTTAATTGAAAAACTTGGTTGGCTTGCCGATTTCCGTCAAATATGTTTGTTAAAAGAACTTTAGTTGCAATATGCTACTTTAATTTAAATAAGTAACAAAGACATATAGGGGGCAAAGCGAGATTCTTTCACCACACAAGGGCAGCAACTAAATTTGATTGGCGTATTTTAAATATCTAGTAAATTAGGTATTTAAATTAAAAAATTTATTTAAATACAAAATTATTATTATTATTTTTTCAATTTACATTACAGTCATTAAATATCTACATAAAGTTTGTATTTGTAAATTAAAAAAAGAATTTTATATTTATAAATATTGGTTAATAATTAATAATATTATAATATTATTTATCTTCTTTTACGTTTTACGTAAATATAACAAAGATAATACGTTTTATTGCAAGTTTTATTTTTGATTATTTTTGTTGTTATTTTCAATTATAATATACTTTACCTGCTAATTTATTTTACTGAGAATCAGGGGTGTGGAGTTGTAAAAAAAAGTAACGACTCCGACTCCAGTTATTCAAATTTTTTGAGCACAACTCCGACTCCAACTCCGAAAAAAATTTTCTAAAAAATTCTTTGAATTTTTTTTAAAATATAACGCGATAAGTTAAAAATTTCTTTTTTGACAAATTTATGAAACGTTCTTTGAGGTTTACTATGGACATAAGGTTAATTGAATGTTTTGTACATGCACGTGCAATACCGAAAAGTTTTACTATTGGAGTCGGAGTGGCAATTTTGTGAAGCAACTCCAATTTTGCTGAAAATATTGCAACTCCCACTCCACAGCCCTGCTGAGAGTATTAATTAATCTTTTATTACAAAAATGTTATTAACTTATTTTAAAGTATAATATTTATTATTATGCAAATTTCTTTGTTACTTTACTAGCTTAAAAATAAACAGCAAAAACATAAATAAAGAGTTTTTGAATAATAAAAATAAATTAATAAAATAATTTATTAAACTTTAAAAAATCTTAACTCAAAATTAACTGACGTCAATAAAAATTAAAATAAAAAGTTTTTTTAAACTTTTGAACGAACAATCATGTTAAGGTGAGTTTCCACTCGGGAAAGGGATGGGAAAAATAATCGCATGGGCATTCGTAATATAAGTTTTAATATGTCTGAAGGGAAACTACGCATGCTCACGTGATTATTTTTCCCTTTCCTATCCCATTCCTGTGAAAAAACGGATGAGTGGAAACTCACCTTTAATGTATGGACTTTTGTTAATGAAGACACATTTTTACATTTTAAAAAAATCAATCAATTTAATTCATTTTTTTGTCATGCTTCTAATTGCGTTTTTTACTTGTCTATCGCGACATTTAAATTCTGAGACAGATTTAATTTTTTTTTTTTTTAACTTTGATCTTATGAACCTTTGGGAATTTGAAACCAATTGGAAATACCGCGTTATACGCGGTGCCATCAGGCTGGTTAACACCCTGATATATATATATATATATATATATATATATATATATATATATATATATATATATATATATATATATATATATATATATATATATATATATATCAACCCTTGGAATTAGGAAAAATGAGGTCTGCAATAATTTGCTGACCTCAAGCTTTTAGAGGATGGCATCATTATAAACTTTGCTAATTAATGATTTGTTATTAATTAACAAAGTTAATTAACTTTGTCATTATTGATTATAAGGAAATGAATATAAAATATTTACCATGCTCCCATAAATTGGTGCCAATTTTTCTAATCTTGATGCTGAAACAGGTTTGGTTGTTCTATCAACTAAAACAGTTTTTTTTTCTCTAAAAACGAAATTAAAAAAGCAAAACAACTAGTTAAAGAATTAATGTCCTAAAAACAGTTTATAAAAACTTACGTTGGCTTTGATAAACGATCTATAACAGGAAGCGATTTCAATTTTGGTAATTGATCAGAACTAGCGTCATTTAGATTTGGCGAAGAGAGAGATCTTTTCATTTTTGATTCTGCATCATTATGGGAGACTTTGTTTGGCACTGGAAAAGAATCATTAAATGCTTTTGTAACACTTGATTCTTTTCGTGGTACTGGTTTTGTTAACATTTGTTGTTGAACTTCTATAGGCAACTCCCAGTGGGTTGTTTCAGTGTTATGGTCTTTATAATAAACTCTCCCAGTGTCATGGCTAATAGCTTTTTCCCAGCCATTTGGTAAACCTAAGGTAGCAAGGCATTTAGGTTTTTGAACTGGAAGAGAATTGGTGGAAAACTGCTTTGGAACAAATGCAGCCGGAACACTTGAACTATTATTATTTTCACCCTGTTTAGGTAAATCCAGGGAGCTTTGAACCATTACGTTAGGTATGGCATTAACTTGAGGAGATAAAAGACCTATATTTGGATTTATTTGTCGAATCATGGAAGGAACAGTAATTACAGGATGTGATGTAGCTATGAGTGAAACATTAGGAACAGAATTACCTTGTTCAGCAAGATTTTCAGAATTGGCTTTAAACTTTGGCTGTAAGGAAACTTTAGGTTTATCTGGTAATGTTAAATTTTGGATGTTAGTTAGATGTTGTGTTGAAGTGTTTGATGATACTGGCAATATTGGAGGAGATATATGAGATGTGACATTAACAGGGAGTTTATCTGATGTGGTTAACCCAACAACTGGTTGTGTCAATAGTAACTTATCTAGATTAGTTGGCATACTGGAAACAAAATTATCTTTTTTATTAATATAACTATTTATAGGGTCATTATCTGAAATTCTTTCAACTGAAGACTTATCTCTGATGGTATTATCTCTATTCCCATTATTATTTCTAATGGTATTATCTCCATTCATATTATTATTACTGATAGGATTGTCTTCATTTTCCTTGATATCTACAATAGTTTTAATTATATTCTCTTTAATATCTACAATAGTTTTACCTACATTCTCCTTTATATCTCTATTATTAATTAGATTTTTATCAGATACTAAATTTAATGAAGAGGATTCAAGTGAGGAATGTTTTTTGTCAAAATGAGTTTTAGACTCTTCAGATTTTTGGCTATTTGGAACTATTTCAGATAAAGATATCTGTGAATTACTATTATCAGTTACATTTTTACTTCTTGTTTGATTTTCAACAGGTATTTCAATGTAATTTTCCTTTTCAGTATTATTTTTGTCATGCATCTCATCAGGTCTCATAAAATTAGCCACAGAAGATGTATCAACTATTTTTGTTTCATCTTTTCTAAATTAAGGAAAAAACTAGTTACTAAAGTTTACAACAAAACATTTTTTAAATATTTTTACTTATCACATACTTTTTGTCAAAAATAAGCTCTGGATATAATAGATCTTTTACAAGACTTAGCAAATCTTGATTAAAGGTCATATTTTGAGGCTAAAAACAAAAATTGATTAAGATTTATAAGATAAAATCACAGATGAAACATTAAATTATAAAATAAATAGTTTTAATATAAACAGTAATTTTAATATAAATAATAATAATAAAAATTTTAATATAAATGTTATTAATTTATACATATTGATTAAAATATATATTTTTGATATGTCAAATTTTATCAGTTTAATAAATAATTAGTTTTGAAAATGACTTAATCATTAATAAGCATTAATACTTATTTAATATAGTTAAACCTCAATAACAATAAAATAAACAAAATAATTTCAAAAATAAAATTTTAATAAAGAATAATTAAAAAAAAAACTCACAAGTTTGCAGTATGTAGGATTTGTTGTAAGTGCTGGATAAGATAAATGCCATTCTTTAAAACCACCTAATACAGCAAACAATTGAAAACCACCCTCAAACTTAAGCAAAACATCTGAAAGAATTTTAACGGGACATGTTGGTGTAAACAAATCTTCATTTAAATTATAATCGATGATAACTACGTTTTTTTTTTCAAATCGACTTTTCCATAACTCCCATGTTTCTTTACTTAGCTTCATTTCAATTGTATTAACATTTGCACCGGTTTTTAAAATATTTTCGGGCACATTAATCATGCATTGATGGCAAATACTTGCTTCATTGTATTCCTCAACTGGTCTCACATCAATTAATAAAGTAGACTGTGGGTCACTTTTGCAATCCTTTAGAATTTCATAAAGTTTATTAACAGAAATAAATGTACAAGTTTTCTTGACAAGATTTATACTAGATGAAGGATTATTAATTTCATTGTGATTATTGGTAGAAGTTTTGTCTGTTTCTTTGGTTATATGCGTATTTTCAGGAGATCTAATTTTGAAATCAGTTGGAACATCAGGTAAAATCAGGTCAAATTGATCCTAATAAATGAAAATTTAATTAAAAAGTCTGAGAAGTGTTCATAAGTATTGTTCATAAATGTTATTACAAAGATTATAATTGTTTAAAGACATAAATTAACAAAAATAAAAACAAAACTAATTAAACCTCATTTGAGCTAAGACCATTCTGATTTCTGTAAAAAAAATTTAAACAGTATGTAATATATAATGTTAAAAAGTTATTGAAGCAGTGCTTTAAATATTTATTAAAATATTTTTTTAAGTTTATAAAAAAAACATTTTTTTTAGTACCTGCTAACCAGGCTTTCACAGGAAGGTGTGCGATTTCACGTCTTTATATGAACACGCAAGTTACATTTTGCTATGACGGTTTGACCGCAGCTAATTCAAAAAACATTTTAAAAACGTGCTAAATAAAAAATATTCTAAAAAAGTGAAATTAATTACATCAAAACTTCTTAACAAATGTTTTTATATTAGCAAAACGATTTTAAATAAAGTAACAATTTACTGAAAAAAGGTTTTGTTTTTTAGATATAATTGACAGTTGTATAGATTTTTTTAATTTAAAACATATAAATTGTTTAAATGTTCATTTTGAAAATAAACATTAAAAAATTGTTTTGTTTTAAAAAATATAATTATAAGAATGATTAAAGTTAATGCATTTAAAAAGATAAACAAAATTTCATTAAAAAAATTTTTTTTAGAAAGCCGTTACAATTTTAAATAAAGTAACAATAAGTTTGATCTTAAATGCTATTATTGAAACGCTTTTAATGAAGTAAAAAAAATACTTCTAATTAATTAAAAAAAAAGTATTAATAAAATGTTTTTTTAACTTTATTTATAACTGTCTATGTTTTATTTATAACTTTAATAATATAATTTTAATGCGTAAATTAAATAGACTAAGACTTTTAGTTTGATGAGTTTTACTTTAGTTGTAGTTAGTATATATTTAGTTTAGTGTATATATATTTATTTTTTTGTGTTTTTGCTTTAACTAAGTATTTTTTTTATTTTTCACTTTCGTTAAGATTTTTTTTTTTTTTACAATTTTTTTTTCAGATAAGTTTAGGTAAATTTTTGTAGCGTGTTTTTAAATTTTGAAAATATGCCGTGGTCAAATCGTTAAAACATATTATTTTTTGCGTGGTCATATAAAGACGTGAAATCGCACGCCTTCCTGTGAAAGCCTGCTGCTAACGGACATTAAACAGTCTGACTAAAATCTCTGTTTGATTAAAAGACTCTCTGATCACAAAGTCACAAAGTCATTAAACATTTTGACTTGCTGAGACTGTTGTCTGACTATTATCTCAACCTGAGATTAAAGTCAGGCATTTTTTGATGTCCAACCATTAAAATGTGTTTCTCAGTTACATATTCTCAGTCAAATTTATATAATTCACAATGATATATATAATTTTACGACTTTGTGAAAAAAAGTTTAATAGAATATTACAACACCATAATAGAGCAACATTTTTTCATATACATATTATTAATAGTTATTTATTCAACACATTAATTTAAATTAGTAAACATAATACAAAATAGTAAATTATAAAAATAATTATCATTTTTAGTAATTTTTAATCTGAATTTTCTAAATAATTCGAAATGTTTGATCTCAGTTCTTGTTTTCAAAATATATTTGAAATGTTTCAAGATAACAAAAAATTCAAGTTAACCACAAAAATATAATTTATACAACTAACATCAATATATTACACAATAATAACAACAACAATACAATCAATATACATTTAAATATCATGCTAATAAACTATAACTAACATTCATGTTAACAATTTTGTTCCAATTAAGTTTTGAGATATTGTCTGCAGCATTCTTGTGGACTTAAGGATTGAGAACTTGAGAACTTTAGATTTATGCAAAAACAAAAAATACATAAACAAAATATTTGGCATTTTGCTTTTATTCTATTACTAGCTGTCTGTACCGGTAAAATACGGGTCTTGCCAGAAAATTTAAATGCAGCTAAACTTTGAGAGAAAATGTACTTAGATCTCAAGAATATAAAGCATATCATAAAAAGAAAATTCAAAAACGATCCATTGATGGGGATATTAATGCAATCTGTTGTTCAATAAAGCTAAATAAACTTTTAAACAGAGTAAACTTGTTCATAATTGAAGACAATGAACCCTATTGCAAAAAGGACTTTTGGTAATTGCCAGGGCAGCAATATTTTTATCAGTTGAATGGTAGATATGTTGTCAAAAAATTCAAGTATATTCAAACTGAAAAATTTCGAACCAAGTTTTTTAGATGGCAAGCAATCTATTCCTGAGGTTTAAAAAGTACACCCATACATTACTTATAAAACTTTGATTGCATATTTATATATTTAAAAGAATACTTAAAGAAACATTTTTTGACATTTATTAAAAAGCATTAAATGTCCACAATATTTCGGCCTGTATTGACTACAATTCTCAACTCCAAGAAGTATCTTGAATGGTATGAGCAAAATAGTGTTGAATTTGTACCTAAGAAAGCAAATCCTCCATATTGTTGTGAGCAGCAAGTTATTGAAAGTTATTGGTTGAAATCTTATTGACAAGCAAGAAATTAGCTATAAATAAAAAAGATTTTCAGAAAAAATGGACAGCCACTTCAAAAAGAGTAACTCAATGCAAGATCTAGCAGATAATGTCAAGTACTCGCAAAGATATTTGGTTTCTATCTAAGCGTCCAATAATAAATGTAAAAAATTATTGAAATAAATAATTTAATTAGCTTAATTGTGTCAAAAAATTACAAAAATCTGCTAAGTAGTTTTCACATAATTAACAATTAAAGGGTGGCGAAATTCATTGAGCTCAACCAATATGTTATGTATATAATATCTATAGAACTTTAAAAATGTTTTATTTTGTATTTTAGAAAATTGGAAAACAAATTTTTTTTATTTTTATCTTGATTCATTCCCAACAAGACTGCAAGCAACCTAGCAACCTGCAAGCTAAGTGATTGAAAAGAGAAGACTTTTTATCAAAACAGGAGTATAAAGTTGTAAAATATTAGACAATTAAAATTAAAATATTAACAGTGCCATGTTGCAAATAAATGGTGTAGGAAAGGCAGCCAATCTTAAATCTGATCTCTCTTTCTGTAAACTTGAGGCTTGCAGTGGCTTGTAAATTTTAACTTTAACAAAACTCAGTTATTTAATGCAAAATATTGTCCACATTCCTATATTAATGAACGACAACCTTATCACTAAGCCCCCTTGTTTATATCTTCTTGCATTATCATTCACAGACTGAATGATAACCATATATACAATCCATCACAGATTTGCTAAGATTACTTCTCTTTATCATGCTTGCCATTTTCTTACTCCTGACATTTGCTACCTCTACAAATCTCTTATTCTACTCATATCATATTTAGGCTGGTTTTTCTAATGATCTTCTTTTTCTTCTAGACAAGTTCCAAAAATGCATTTTAAATGTAGCTGGACCTGCTATGTCTGCCGAATTTGAGCCATGCTCTCACAGGGTGTTAGTCATCCCACTATATATACTACAGAATTCCCAATGGTTTTAAAATTCCCAAAATTCAATGACCTTTAAGTAATAAGACTAAACCAATAAAAATTTCCAATATTTTGTAAACCAATAACAATAAACAATCCCAATATCACAAAAATGTGATAAAAAATATTTTCCTGGCTAACACCCTGCCTCATTCTTGTAAAGTTTAAAAAAAGTCAGACTCACCCCTAAATGTGTACTACATAATAAAACAACACTGGATACACATACTATCATGGTACCTGCTAAAACAAGCTATCATCTCTAGTTCTATTAATTTATTTATTTTGTTAGTTTTTGTTAGTTTTTGCTTTTTTTGTTTTTAAAACTTTGACTCATCATTTAATAAAGTTGCACCCTTATACTGTATCTTTTTAAGAACCAACTAATTCAAATTTTCAAGACCCGACTTTAACTGGAAGATGAATTTAGACCAAACTTATAACGAAACTTACAACTACAAAAGTAATAATACTCTTGTCACTAACTGCATTATAAAAGTAATAACGCTATATAAGTGTTATTACTTTTATAAAGCACTTTATACTTTTAAAGTTTATTTTTTCCTCAAACAACATTAGTAATTCCAAACAATAAAAAAGTAGAAAAGCATCTAGAAAAAATAAAGCGGATATTCATATATTAAAAGCTTGAGGAATTTTTACAAATTACTTAAAAAACTTTATGAAAACGCACTTAATAAAAAGTTAAGCATTATGAAAAACGTCACTAATAGTCCGTAAAAAGGCGCATTTAATTTTAAAATCAACTAGTGATCGCTTAATTCAACTTGTGTTGTTATATAAATATATTTTACAAATACATTGCAATTTATATTTTCGCTTTCCTCTTTAAAAAAAGTTAAATGAGGGAAAATCAGTCTTTTTATTGTAGACTTAAAACTTTTTTTTTTTACTTCGCCTTACTTATTTTTTTTGCTGAATGTAACAACCACTCTAAAGAAACAAAAATAAAAACAGTACATAAATTACTTAAATTACTAATTTATTTTTTTCTATTTAAATTTCTTTTTATTTCCTATTTTGTTAGTTTTTTTTTTTTTTTTTTTTTAAAACTTTTTCTGCCATGAATAATATTATAAAACAAACGCCGTGATCAAGTTGTCTAAATAAAATACTCTCGCATAGTCATACAAGATAAAAAACCGCACACCTTTCCTGGGAAGCCTTGTTGTTTACGTAATGTATTTTCTATATAAAATAACATGTGTAAAATACATAAAATACATACTTTTTCTGACTTTTATCTTGACATTCAGCCAGCTCCGTATATCTTAAATATTTAAGTATTAAATAAAACAGTTATAAAATAAAAGATTATTGCATGGCAACCAGCATGACAGTAAATAAAAAGTGAAACTAAAAAAAGCACTCAACAGGAAATTAAATTAAAACAAAATGCACCTCTTTTGTAATTGATCACTTAGTTCTTCTGCTTTTTCTATAGCAACTTTTATATTACAGTTTTTAAGTAGTGATAAAAATGTATTCTAAAAATAGAAATTTTAATAAATGAACCAATGAGTAAATTTCTGAAATTTTATATAACTTAATATAGCTAAATAAATTAATTGCAGTATAATGTTAAAAATTTTTTTTTTTTTTAATTTATCTAAATTTAAACCAAATGGTTTTAATGATTTAACTATTTTAGCCTTGAACCATAATCAATCATAATCAACAATAATCCACCATTATCAATCATAATCAACAATAATCCACCATTTTAAACCATAATCAACAATAATCCACCATTTTAAAAAATGACTTTAACCTTTGTTTCTTTTTTGTGTGCAATCAAAAGTTAAAAATATGTACATCTGAATCCAATAAAACAACTTGAAACATTTAAAAATGAACGTAACAACTGAAATTGAAACCTTCATCACAGTTTCACCAGAGCGAATTTAATTTCAAAAAAGTTGAGGAAACTTAATTTTTGTGTGTGTGTGTGTCTACAGGTTGGTGATCTCTAACTCTAACTAAACTATTAGGAAGTGGTCTTATTTAACATTAGAGGATAGAGAGAATGGTAAAATTTACATAAATTTAATGTAAAACAGGAATTAAAAAAATCAGAAGAAAAAAAAAGTGGTAACTTGACAGTAATGTAACTGAAACAGTTTTGACCATATCAAATTGTTCCTTTAGTTGCTTTTAACTTGATGTTTCTGATTCTTTGGTAGTTTTATAAAATCTTATCCTAATTTTCAAAAATTTATTATAGTTTCACTGGGGGGAACTTAAATTATCAAAAATACAGATGTATAGCTTAATTTTTTTTCTTCAGAAGTTGTCTTGAATAATGCAAAAACATTGAATTGTGATCTTTCCTAAAAAAAAATAGAAATAGAATACATTGTCAAATGTTTTTATTTTCATTACTTATGAAACATGAATTACATATGCATCTAACTGCAACAAATAAATTAGTAGAAAAATAAAGAATATGGAAAAAACATTAGAAACTCAAGAAACAAAAATAATACAAAAACTATTTAAAGGTATTTATATCTACAATGTGGTATAGAAATGGTATATATTGCAAAATTGCTCTGACAGGAGCAAAATCATTATTTTGATTGTGATATAAACAATACAAATATGAATAGAACTGCATTGCTTAACTTATTGATGGTTTTGTATGGAAATGCTCATCTCGATAAAATAAAGGCTAATATTCAGAAAATTAATATTCAAAGTCAAATAACTTCCTTTTTGTTGACCATTAAAAATATAAAAAAACCAAGAACAGTGGCTCAAGATTTAAATTAGAGATGTTTAAATTAGAGATGCCAGGAATATTTTGCAACTATTCGGTATTCAGCAACATTTTATGCTAATCGGCATTCTGCCGAATATTGCAAACTATTTGGCTAAAAACTGAATACTGAAACATGGCAAAAACCAATCAGAAATAGATTATATTAGATATATTACAATATATTACTATAACTAATACAATAAACAGAATAATCAAATTATAAATTTATTACATATATAAGATTTTATTAATCATCAAAATTTTTTATTTAAAACAAGTTTAATACTTGAAATTTATGAGTGGTAAATTATGATAAGTAAAAACAATTTTCTTGGCATTTGTTAATAGCAAACAATTCCACTTTTCCTCGTAAACTACACCTGCTTTTGAAAACAGCCGCTGGCTATACACACTACAAACTGAAGAGGATAAATAAGTTTCAACAAATTCTGCTAGGCTTGTATAATGGTTTGCATTGTTGACCAGCACTTATAAGGGTCTGTTTTCCGATTTAGGCGAACAGTTTTCATGAAAATATCAATTTCCTTTGCTGCTGAACTTTTCTGTTCGACATCTTTGTCTGCGTGCGTATTTTCTGTGACTTCCTCAAAACATTTCCAGCAGCTTCCTCAAAACATTTCCAGAAAACTATTGTGTCTCGATTGTTTTATCATTTTCATTGACATTTTTTTTCTTCTGAAGTGGAGATTATCAGTGCTACTAGACGCTTCAAAAGTTTTTTTCAGAGCTTCAAAAATAATTTTTTGTTTTGTTCTTTGTGTTTTTACCATTTCTTCAATTAAGTAATGATATTTTATTTATTTTGGATCATTAATATCCCAACACGATTTCCTTTCAGCAGAATCTTTCAGAGTTAACTATTTCTTTTTTAATATACATGTTACTAATGGTATCTTAGAGTTGGTAAAAATGAGTGAGCCCTCATTTTTGCTCTCTCTTTCCGGGGGAGCTCCATTTAACTTTGTGTACTGCTCAGAATGCTTGTTTTGGTGGTTTTTCAGAGAAGTTGTTGCTGGAAACAAAAAAGAGTACTTAAACCTAGACTAATTAAAGTACCTACTAAGCAAAAGAACTATGAGTAAAAAAAGTACCAAAGTAAAAAATTTGTTTTGTTAAAACATATAATTAGTTATAATATAGGTAATAGTTTTACTTACTTGCTTTCCTTCCATCTCAACCATGTGAGTTTTTGCTTTTAAACAGCAAACAAACTGCCAGTTTATTTTCTTCCCTGCAAATTTCATATTTCCAAATAGGTGGTTTTTTAATTAAAATATGCCATTGAAAAAACTTTTTGCCAAAATTTTTTTTAAATAAAACAACTTTTGTTACTTATTGTAGTTTTTTGCTAGCAAAACAACAATCAAATACAAAATCTTGTTCACTAAATTGACTTTAAATAGTATTTAAAGGATAATTAATTGTTAATGTATTTATGTGGTTTTTAATAAAAATATTTGAGGTCTGTAATTTAAAATAAATTATAGAATTTGTAAATAAATGAATTGAATTTAATAAATTCAATTCAATCATTTACAAATTCTAGTGACAATTTATATTATAAATACATTACCAATTAATATTAAAAAAACAAGACCCTGATTAAAAAAAAAACTTTGGTTTTGCCAGACAGGTTTTGACAGATATTTAGTCTGACCTGAAAATTGACGGTTATTCAACCATTGATGCAGAGCAATCAGAGCTAGAGTCAAAGAACAATTACAAGATCAACGCTGAATTGCTCATCATCTTTATATGAGTCAATATTTTATTCAAATTGTAAAATTGTGCTATAATTGTTCTTTTTGTTGGACTGTAAAAAACTCTTACTTTACTTTAATTAGAGCACGATTTCTTTTGCCACCTGTCCTGGTCAGCTAAAAGAGATATGGTCTCAAAGCAGTAGATGTCTCAGAAGGAGCTAAACAGTTGTTTCAACCATTCCTGTTTGTGCTCATTGTATCAAACATTGAAAGTATTCTTCTTTGACCTACTAAGTGTTTTCCAATTTATAAGTATGATGCATTTTGTCCATCAATTCAGTCTAACCTAGCTGATAGAATTAGTAAAAAGTGTAAAATCTAATATATATCAAGCTATGCAGAAAAAGTACATTTCTATTCATTCTTCCACATTAACACTAGCTCTAATCAAAAGGGCCAGACCAGTTCATATCACTGCCAAACATCAGACAGAAGACAAACATCAGACTGAAGACAAACTTCAGACAGAATTTTCGGCAGTTGTTATCCTGCAAAAGAATTCGGAAACTGCTGAGTGGTTAGATGAAAACAAAGTAGATGCAACCAATCTAATTGTACCTTTTTTGCTAAAACCATTCCAACAGATTCCCACAATTGTTGTACTTCTTAAAACTTAAAACAGATATTTCCATAACTTTCTACAAATTAGTTCTGATACTTTTGCACTTTTAGTAAAAGCCTTTTATAATTAAATTTTTTTTTTTTCAAAAGTCTACCTCACCCTCTAAAATACAAAATAAAAAAAACATAGGATCCAAAAAATTTGTAAATATAAAAAATATTTTTAGGGGTGCCCTTAGACCCTTGAATTTTTAACAGGTCCCTAATATTATTCAAAAAAATAATGTAATTTTCTAAGCAGTGAAATCTAAAATAATAATTTTAAATCAATCAAATACAAAATTTTAAAAACTTTTGTTTAAAAGATCCAATACAACATAGGGGAGGATGGGTAGGAGTGACCCAAGGGTAGGAGTGAACCATTGATCTTACAGCTATAATGGGAAATGAAACAGACTCAAAATTTTCACTAAGTAGTTGCATACATATTGTTATTAACACAATCCAATTTTTTTACCGTTTCTTGGTGTGGGTGTCTGCATTAACGTTGTCATCCACTCTTTTCTGTACAAAAGTAAATTTTTTGTATTTTTTGATACTTTTTTAATGAGCATTCCGGTTGTTTTGAGACATTAGATAGTGGTTGAAAATTTACTAATAAAAAATGTAGTTTTTAGAACAAAGTATTTTACATGCATAAACCACCTACTTATTGAACATTTAATGTTTTAAACCAGTTGCACAGCTTGGGAAGGAATGAGCCATTCCTTCACGGAATGTAGAAGTGAATTGCGGCTAACTAATACTTCACGTTAAAAAAGTTTTGAACTCAGCGTAAAACATATTTACATTTGACTTTAATATCTTAGTATATCATTAGAAAACTTGTGTGCAACATTACATTTATTTTTACCACATGTTATAATGCCTCGAGTCTATAAAAAAAACAACTTTGAAAGCAAAAACCTCCAGTAAAAATATGAAGGAAGCATTACATTCAATTTAAAAAGGAAAAAGTATTAGAGAAACTGCAATAACTTCCAAAATACTCTATCCAACGCTTTGTCGTTATTTGAAAAAATTTTTGCATGATGAAAATACAAGACTTACCCCGAATTATTATGTTAAAAGAATATTTACAGACAAGCAGGAATTAGAATTTAAGGAATAAATTTTGACTTGTTCAAGAATGTTCTATGGCCTTCCAATTAAAGAATGTCGGACTATAGCTTTTGAAATGGCAATCATTAATAAAAATAGTATTCCACAGAAGTGGCACAAAGACTTAATGGCAGGTATTGATTGGATAAATAATTTTAGAAAGCGACATCCAGATTTGTCTCTTAGAACACCTGAAGGGTGTTCTAAGAGACAAAAGGGT